AAGGTGGGTTCCCACTGGCTCAGTCCTATCTTCCTGGCACCTCTACCAGGACAGAAGGGAGACATTGTGTTCTGTGGTGACAGATGTGAGACTCACACCGATGTGACTCCCAGAACTGAGTAGAAGAGAGGTGCATCCTCACAGCTGGGAGGACTCTCTTCTGTCTCATCATGTGACTTAAAACTGAAGAGTGGAGGCAGAACACCAGAAGAAACCCAGGACATTTCTTGGGACTCACTAATTGGAATAGGACTTGGAGGTCTCTCTCACTGCTGCCGAGGCTTTCCAGCAGGCACGAACACAGTGCTGCACTGCAGCATTGCCTAATCCATGTCTTAATGGGATTTACACCTCATATGTACACAGCAGTCCTGCTCACTGAGGAAATTTTTCCACTACTGAAGGAAAAAAACATACCAGTGAAGAGCAAACCTGAGCTTTCACCAGCAAAGGCTAATCTTAAAGTAAGCTTAAAATTAACTGACAGGGATGGCTGCTGGACACAGAGCAAGAAGTTGGGAACTATTTGAGTTCTTGGATTTGCAATGGCATGGGAAGAGCTCCACAATTTAAAAGCAGGATGAAAAATGAAGCCCAGTGCATGGGATAAGCTTAACACTTCTGGAGGAGTAACTCATACTCAACTCTTCCATCATCTTCAAGGATTTCTTTCCCCATCTCTGCCCCAAACCCCCGGGGCTGCCATATGTTCAGCCAAGCTGAAAGCTGACATCCAGGCTCCAACTTTTCAAACGGTAGCCTAATGGAGAACAAAGACTTACAGTCTTGCTCACCCAGATCCTTGATGTTCTGGTAACAACAGTGAATAAATATATATTGCTGCTTACACACCCAGGGTAACAAAGCCCCCTCAAACAAATCCAAACCCAGAATACTGACAGAAAAATGGAATAAGGTATGTAACTTTGAGGCAGCGGGACGTCAGTAACATGCAACTCATGACAAGCCAAGGCAGAGAGTCAGGTTACTGCTGGTACAAAACCCTCACTGAGCAGTGCCAGGAGTAAATAGGTAGGTACCTTCACAGACATACTCAGTGGATTGGATTTCTAGCAGGTAAGGGTCTGAAAGTAGAGGTAAGCATAGTAGCTAAGTCAGACTCTATCTGATACCATATCAACATAAATTCAATGTTTCAGCAGTATTTATTAGTTTGGTATGTCTTCAGTAAGTATGAGTTGCTAAATCCTACACTCTTCATTTACCTTAACATTTATATCAGAACTTATGACTGCAGTGTGATTTAAGCACTGTAAATTTACTAATTAGAAAAAAAACCAACCAGTAGCGTAGATTATTGGAACTCCTTCATTGATTAGACCACAGTTTGCTGATCAAAGTTTGAAGTCCATTTCAAAAGGACATTACTTTTTAAAACAACTAAAACAGCAAAAGGATAGACATCAAATACTTATCTTTTTGTATGAACTCAAGATCAACAGACTCTGTCAGCAGACATACAGTGAAATGGAATAAAAAAGACCAACTAATTTTATCTGCTTTTAGACAGCTCCTGAAAAGTCAGTCCTGCAAATCCAAGCAATCAGGTAAGATTTAAGCAATCAGCATCACAGCTTTCTTCCAGAGCAGGAAAAAACAACTTCAGTAGCTTGGGTTCCAGAAGCCATTAAAGCCTGCTGGTATCCTAGGTTCTTTGATTTGAAACATTAAGACCCCTAGGAGATACTTGGTAGAAAGGTACTGACTCACAATTAATACAGAACGAAGACCAAGTGTTTACTATCAAAAGGTATATTCTTTAAGTTATTGCATCAGTGAGTTTTTTTGCAGTAGTACAAGCACAAATCTCAGCCATAATAAAAACTTAAGCAGTAATATTGGATGTGGCATAATTTGTTTTTGTGACCTTATTGAAAAGAGTTGAAACTGTAATATTTTAAGTTTTCTTGCAGTTCAAAGCCCATCATCAATGAAGACCACAAGCAAACTGATGCCCAGGCAGTCTTGGTGCAATGGCTGTCTTGGAAAGACAAAAGCCCTCGTTCTTATCATTGAGCATGATGCCGCATGGCACAGGATATCGCTTTGGTCACTTGGGGTCAGCTGTCCCAGCTGTGTCCCCTCCCAACCTCTTGCCCAACCTCAGCGTACCCATTTGGGGGTGTGGGCACGGAATGGGAACCGGTGAAAGCCTTGGCACTGTGTGAGCACTGCTACGTGGTGTGCTGGTGTGTTACCAACACAGTCCGTCACAGCACCGCGCTGGCAGCTACGAAAGAAGCTAACTGCACCCAGCCAGACCAGTACAAAGACACAGGGCGCGAAATCCATTTCAGGGGATTCAGGACCAAAGAGATTTTGGAGAGCTTCAATGCAAAACACGTACCAGAAGCAACAATACTGCTAAGTGTTAAACTAGATAAAACTTGGCACTGAGCAGTTACTGGGCAACTTTAGGTACTAGTACTTTTAAGAGGTTTTGATTGGGTTCAGCTGGCCAAGTGAAAGAGGACTCCTTCCACATTCCCTCTGAGTTTGGAAAGTAAGCATTTCCAAGTAGCTTCACAGCACTTTCAGGCTTTTCTTCCTGAAGCTGCTGTGAAAAGAAGAAATAATACAAGCACAATAAACAACTGAGTTACTTTATGTTCCTGCCCTTTTAGGACACCAAATAAAGCGAGTGCTGGATCTGGTGTGTTAAACCGAATGATTACCAAAGCCTGACAGCTGAACACCCTCCCCACAGTCATCTTCTCTAGCCTCAGAAATTGCCCTAAACATCAGGGGAGCACATGGAATTTCATCATTTCAGGGTGGGATATGAAACTTGCTCTTGGTGCCTTCTCTGGTGCAAAAGATACCTATCAAGCAGAGTCTTTTTTTTTTGGTAACAACTAACAATATCCATTGGTTTCTTCTATAATGACTCATATTAACACTTTTTTGGTGACTGCCACTAATTTAACTGCTTCCACTCTGGGCAGTGACACTGCACTCATAGCTTGATGGCTTCCTGAAGGTAGCATTATAAACTAGCATCTCCCCAATTACTTACATAGTGCATCATCAAGACCCCCAACCCAACATATTAATCCCAGTGAAAATCCTCAGTACAAATATACTGTAGAAGTCCTAGTAAGAATCTAATCCTGAGCTCAAAGGTATTTGTACTGACAGACATGAAACTTCTCACCTAAGAGCGGATAGAGCACACTTTTAAAAAAAAAAAAAGCACACAGGGTGTCAGAGTAGAACCGCATCCTCTTATAAACAGGCATCCCACCAGCCTCATCAAACACTTGCACCCAACATCAGATTGGATTTAAACTTAATCATTACTACAGATAAACCTGTTTTCCAGCGGATGGGCTTTTCACACTTCAAAGACAGCAGAGAAATGAACTCTTCTCAGACTTCAAGAGATTGGTGGCATTGAGAGATGATTAGATAAATCAGGCTAGGTCTCAGCCCCCAAGACAACGGTGAAACAGAAGTCACAAAAGCTTGAGAAGTAACATAATTAATTTGAGATCTTTAAAAACGTGAATTGCCAGGAAGAGAAAAGAATGTCTACCTTTCCTTTGCATAGCTAGTAACAACAAAGACTTCAGCAGCATGGTCTAGGAAGAAATGAACCGGATTTTCATGGATTCCCTGAAAGCGACGCAGACAAACTCTGCCAGCCAGAGATCCAGCTGAATTGCAGCACCAATGTGCTCCTCAAGCACTCCAGGAAAGGGATGCACTTTGATTTGATGCATCCATGCGAGGAAAATGACAGCTGAAGGCTGTTTTTTCTCACGCCCTGCCAAATTAACAGCTGACACAGTTGTACACCACAGGACCGTCAAGAAGGGTGGCAGAGCTCCATTATTTAAATGTGTTGAGTGATTTTTTTCAGCAAATGGGTTCTCAGACAACACTTCTGCGGATTTTAATACACTGACATATGAAAACAGCAACTTCGGTTCACTGGAAACAATTTTCTTTTTAATTTTACCATAAAAAGGCAAAATAAACTCTTTTACTGTAATGTTATAGCTTTTAATATTCCTGAGCTGCATTTTAGAAGCAAAAGTATTCTTAAATGGATTTAACAAGAGACACTGCAGCCTTACTTTCCAACACCACAAGTGAAAATAACTTAGCAAGAAGGCCCCTTTTTCAAAAGACAGTGGCTACTAGCTCTGTATGTACCTGAAAAAATGCTTCAAGTGGCTCTTATGCCACCTGAAGTAATTACAAAGCCAAGTATGTCCACAAAGTAACAGAAAAACTTTTCATCCATTTTCCCACTGCTTCTTACTTCCTCCATCAGCGTGCCTCTCAAATGGAAAGTATTATTATACAAATGGCATTACATGCCAGAATAACTTGGGCCACAAAGCTTGGCACCATATGGACACAAGAAGGAATCGTAGCAGTTCAAAAGATAACCTGCAGACCTTTATAGTCAGTTTTAAGAACTATATGAAAGTTCTGCTCTCCATCTCCGTGAGCAAAAACTCTAGTTTGTTAAACGTGATTTTGCCGAACGCACCAGAAAACATTTTAAACCAAACCAGTATGTAACAGCTTGTCGTGCTTGGAGTTCCTAGAACTGGCACCCGTGTAATTCTCAAGCCAAATTAGGTGATAAAGAGGTAAAAACTGAATCGACTAAAATCAAGGTTTAGAAAAATTAAAATCAAGAAATCAGGTCGGCTTTTTAGCACTGTAGGAACTCGAGCACAAGCACAGGTGGTTATGCCTACATTGTGGCAGGAACCTAGGAAGAGACAACAATGCACAAAGGAACCTCAAAAAAAAAATCAGGCCTCTATTTTCTTGATCTCAGGGACTAGATGCAAATTAAGCACTGGTTGAAACAAACATGTTTTCTACAGCAGTCACACCCATGATGTTCCGTATACAACTTTCTGGCCCTTTTGTCCAACCACAGCCTTTCCAAGGAGCCGAAGCCTCCGCTACCCACTCCAAGTACTCCTCTGCTTACTCAGTGACCTCCTCCGGTGCCTTCATCTCCTGCTCACACTTCTGTAACTGCGACTTCTCCCTCTTCTGTCCCGTTTACGTTCACTACTGCGAGTTCTTCTGTAACGTGAACGCCTGGGGCTCACACTTCTCCGACGAGGACTGTGGCTTCGTCGAGGACTGTAACTTCTGCTAGAGTGTCTATAATACCTCCTTTCCCTCCTGCGCTTTTCATCCTGGTAACTCACATCTCTTCTGTGCCTGCTCCTCTCACGTCTACCCTTGCTCTCATCAGTGTTTATGCTGCTACATGAACGGCTCTTTCTTCTCCTTGGCTCTGCGCTGCGTTTGCTCTGCTCACAGTGCGAGTCCTTCCTGCAGGAGTCGTAGCTAGAGAGGCTCTTCTGCTGCTGGTTGTTGGTAGGAACACATGAAAGTACCCCAGAACTTCCCTTCTCAGAGCATCTCTCAGAGTTCGTGGTATGAAGTTTCTGACCTTCTTTTACATGAACCTTGTCATGAATGTTGCCATTCAAGTACTTGCACTGAGTTTTTACACTCTCAGGGGACGATCCTTCTTTTTGAGAGACAGGAGCCAGCTTGCCTGTAACAGCCTGTCCTGAGGTAGAAGTGATGCAGCTGAATGACACAGTGTGTGGGACACCACTAGCACTTTTTAGCGTGTCAGACTGAGATGCTTCGGTTTCTTCTTTGCTTTGATTCACTGCATCCATTTTCTTGCTCAGAAGATTGTTCAGTAGTTTCTCCCTCAGTTCCTTTTCTTTTCTCTGCAACCCCAGCGCTCTCTCTTTTTCCTCTTCCACACGTTTGAGCTCAGCCTCCTGGAGCCTTCGTGTCTCCTCCAGCTGCTGAAGACGTATCTTTTCTTCGTTATGTTCCTGCTCCAAAAGCTTTACTGTCTGAAAGACAGTCAAAAGGAAGGCAAGAGTAAACAAAAGAATATATTTATAGACATGCTCATGCTTCCAAGTTATACCATGATACAAAAGCAGCAAACTGGAAAGAAAATAAAATCTAACAAACAGAACTTAAACATCCCAAAACAAAATGGTTGTTTCCCTCTTAAAGGGCAAAACCCCAAAACTGACCAAAAAAAAAAACCAAAACCCAAAAAACCCCCAAAAACCACCCCTCTAACACAACTGTTGTAAGGTGAAAGTATTAGACCACAAACTCTTAGGACTGTTCATTTCTCCTAGCTGTTTCACAAGGCAAAAGTATTAAAATATTTTATTGAAACTGATTCCCATTTTGTCAACCACTTCAAAAATCATCATACTGAAAAAGGAAGGTTCAAACTTTGTGTGGTTTTTTTTTTTGTTGTTTTTGTTTGTTTGTTTGTTTTTAAATTCTGACCCAGACAAACAGCTGGGTGTAGACCTCAGTTCTGGGAGTAAAAGAAACTGCTCCTTTATCAGATAACCTTTCTATTTCACAGCTGAAAAGTTACAAAGCCTGCAGGAACTATTTCTCCTTTCTCCTAGCATATATAACTGACCACACAGCACTCTATGAGCTCTAATCCAAAACCACTCCTGAGGTACACTGGCATCAAGGAAAATAACTAAAACCAGGACAGCTTTGCCAGAAAATACTTAACATACATTACACTCTAACATGACTTTATCCAAGACTTGTGGATGCCCCATCCCTGGAAGTGTTCACGGCCAGGCTGGATGTGGCTTTGAGCAACCTGGTCTAGTGGAAGGTGTCCCTGCCCATGGCAGGGGGGTTGGAACTAGATGGTCTTTAAGGTCCCTTCCAACCCTAACCATTCTGTGATTCTATGAAGACTTAAGCAAATGACATCCTGTTTCAGTGAAAAGTAAGGATACTGTTAGAGACAGGATCCAACGTTCTAAACCTCAGCTGACAGTACTTCTCCTACAGAAAGATCCTTCCACATATTTTCCAACATCAAATAATGAAAGCTCATTCTCTGAAACTGCAAAGAATAGTTAACAGAACTTCTGAAAGCCAGGAGGGAAATGGTATCAAAACTGGAATTCGAAATAAGGAGTCTCACATCTTATCCTGTGTGTTTAGTTGACTTTATCACGTTTGCATGTTCTTTTCCTGGATGCCACAGCATGCCTGCCAATTGGTTTACATGTGAGAAATGCTATTCAGGACTACAGGTTCAAGTTCACCCTTCCATTTACCTACACGTGCGTTATTTTACCAAGGGAGAAATGTTGTTTCATTGCACGTTTTTGAACTTTTCGTCTAAGGAACAGCATCTGAAGAGGTACTAAATCTGTTGTTTAATCAACAGGACTTGCTCACCCTCTCCCACATCAGTAAAAGTCTTTGTTCTGCTGGGTTCTTCATCAGCTTATGAAATAAAAACTGAAGTTACCTTTGCCCTGCTCAGCAGTTCTGCAATGAGTCTAATCGACTGAAGATTTCTCTGAGCTAACAGGAGCTTCCTTTCTTCTAACTTTATCTTCTCTTGCAGTTTTTTCTGCTCTTCAGCTTGAAGCTTTTCAAGTTGCTTTTTGTTTCGTCGAACTTCACGATCCTTCTGTTTCTGTTCTCTCTTGCGCAGCTTTTCTTCTCTTTTTCTCTCTCTCTCATATTCTTCCAGCTCTCTCTGCTTCCTAAAAAGAGATCACTATTTTTACCTTATCTAGGGCAGGTACAGTTTTAGACTCCTACTCTATGTAAAGAAATATTTTGTACTTTGAGTAAATTTGTTTCTAGCTAAGTGTTGTAGGTTACTGAAAAGCAAGTAGAAAACAGCAAACATTTTAACCATTACATGTGACAGCAAACAATCGTCAGCCTGTCAGTACTGAACAACAAGTGGGAATTCAAACAAATCATGGCTACAACAAAAATGTCTTTTTTTTTTTTTAAACTACTACAACCAGAGACAGTAACAATACCTCAGGCAGCTGGGCAGTCAATCGTCACGGTGAGGAGAAAATTACCAAGCCAATTAATGGGTAGGTGGGTTGGTGTTTATTTCCATCATTAGGACAAAATGGTGGCTTATGTAAAAGGCCGAGGGTTTCTGAGACCAGGTGTCTAATGGCACAATTTTTAGGAAATTTAGTATTTTGCAGAGTTAGTATTTTTTAACTGAACATAGGCATTTTCTGAATCTTACAGTTTCTGAAACTGTTTAATATCTAAACTTTAAGCAACGAGAATGTATACGCATCAAGGCAACGGGACACCGTGCCACCTGTCAAACGATTTGCTCCATTCATGTTTATATTCTGAATAGCTGTCTTATGACATTTGCACCCTAAATGTTTCCTTAAAAGATTACGAAATGGTAAGATGCTCGTATCCCATCCCCTTCCCGGAAAAATACTGACGTTAACAACAAATGAGCTTTGTAATATCAAAGTCACTTACTAGTTAAACTAGTAAACTTCTATAGTTTAGTATATAAACTATAGTTTTATAGTTTTAGTAGTTTCTTCATAATTCTCTATTCTCCATTTACAAATGCAGATTTTTCCCCATCACAATGACTACACATCAAGTAAGTTCCCAGGTCCTGGAATTACAGTTCAACCAGAAAAAAAAAAGTGGTAACACACTTCTCCAAATCTCTGACTCCCTGAATCCTACTTCCTCAAAAGGACGACAATGTTCTCACTCAGTTTAGCTACAGAACTTTGAAAGGAAACTTGTGTTTAGTTATTTTCTATCTTTTGACGCTCATAGGAAGGAATAACTGCAGTGTAGTTATGCCTGATTGGTAAAAATACACCTGAACAATAAGCAATAAATACCTTTCTTCCTCTTTTTGTCTTTCTTCAGCTTCTTTCTCTTTACGTTTTTGTTCCTCTCTCTGCTTTTCAAGCTCTTGAAGCTTTTGCCTTTCAAGCTGACGTTTCTTAATGGATGCATCACTGAGGTGTTTTGTTGAGTCAAAAGAAACCTTTACAGAAGACAATTGAAAAGAGTTTTAAGTAGACAAAAAAATAAAAGCCCCAACAGCCTACACAATCCTCAACAATTTTAACCAAGCACAGAGGTTTCCAAACCAATGTTAAGCACAATCAGAAAAAGGGTACTTCTGTATGTGCCCAGAGCAAGCACCTGTGTACTATATATAACCAGACAACTGAGAACTGTCCCTTAACTTAAGTGACTGCACACTAGCACAATCAGGCACCAGCTTACAGTTCTGTATGTGACCCACATCCAAAAGCAAACCCTAGCGTGGTTGAGGCCCTGGCTAATGTTTTCAACCTGTCAGAACAGGGTAATACAGAACCCTTTCAACTAACACATGCTGTTGAGGGCTGTACTGCAGGCCCTTATTACAGCCTCCCTTTCCGTCTAACACTGTGAGCGTCAGGTTCATCAGAAGAAACGCTTCTACAACATTCAGTACTTGGTTTAAGCAAGTGCCTCCCCACCAGTTCTAAAACCACGATTCCCACGAGGCTGAAGCTCCAAGTTTGACACTGGAAACACAGGAGGAAGGGAAGTTACACACATCTGAGCAACAAGACCTGGGAAAACGTTCAGCTTCGCACACCTTGGCTATATTCAGCTGTGTGCTGGAACAGGACACCAGCAGACATCCTAATCTCCCATTCTGGGTACCACTGCCCGTGCAGGCAGGGGTCCATAATCCATTCCTGCAGGCCCATCGTCATAAACCACGGGCAGAGAACAAGGAGCAAAACCTCTGTAGTTTAATTCACTCAAGCTCCATATAAAATGATGTTTCATTAGAAGGCTAAAGGGACAGGTAGAAACAGACAAAAACCTGTGACCTTGCATGAAAAAGATCTGTCCTGACAGCACAGCTGCAAACACAGCCCTCTCTTTCCTATCAATCCCCAGGGCAGCTGCCAGGAAGACATGATTCCTCTTGTGCAGCCACACTAAATTTGGGAACCCTGGTCCCCTGCATGTAAGTGACAGTTTGAATTTCACATCCCCTTGAAAACCTGGAGGGTCAAGGTACAAACAGTTTCTACACTCTAACTGGTAAACTTTGATAACAAGATAAAAAGATTACACTATTTCACTTATACTGACTAAACTACAACTGAAATAAATGTTTGCATGTTTCCAACATTATGCATAGGAATACTCAAGCTTGTTCCTGAAATACTTTCTGATTTGATGAATTACTACTGAGCATACTGAAATGCATCCACAAACACTTCTCTCAACCGATACGTAAATACATGGACCGTCTCCAAACATATTGGAGCAAGTGGTACTCTGGCCATGCTTTCATAGTTACTACGTCTGAACTGACTGCCTCGTTTCCTCCCATCATAGTGGTACTTTCTAAGACCATGAGGTTACAGAAGATCTGGAAAACTCAGTATGTGAATATTATCAATTAAGCATACCAAGGAAACTGTGCTATAGGTTAACTTTATTAATATTATTTGTGAGGCCTTTCCGTATGTGAAGTACACTGATGATTAACTGTGTATTCCACGGGCCTTACAGGCCACTTCCTATTAACCTTCACAGCACTGACACTTGTGTGGTAGACTTTATTACCAGTGCAGGGGCCAAATACAGAGACTGTGAAACACTCCCCCCAAATTTCTAGCTGTAGTGAACATAAGAGAGAACAATACGTGTTCTAGTCAGCCTTCTGGTGAAATATGTCTGAACTTGTCCAGAATTGGAATTCTAAGTGAAATTACAAGATTTATAAATACATATTACTTTCTAGAAAATATTTAGCAGGTTCTGTTCATACACCTGGTGCTTCCATCAAGCAGTTCTCATTTCTACAACTGTCTTGTTAAAAAAACAAAAAAAAAGGACAACCCCCACTCACTTTATTCACATAGCCTAACACCACATTTTTCCTCCATCCACTTTCCTTTGCAAATCCCATTACGGCTGTTAATGTCACCTGTTGTCACCACTACAGTATTACAGAACCGGGTTTGAAGCACTACAGCAACAACATTTATCTGTCTTTGGCCTTTCACAGGCGTTCCCATAAGAAAGTCCACAGTTTCTCACCTTTATATTGCAAGCCACTGCTTTGCCATCGTCACCTTTATACATCAGCTTCATCCCTCGCAGGGCGTTCATGGCCTTAATGAATCCAGCGTACTCTCCATACTGAACGTAAGCTTCAAAATTTAAATGGCCTCCGAAACTGAAAGTGTGGAAATTTCTCCCAGTCATTTCTTCTCTGTAAGGATCCAGCATGGGTATGTCCACGTTACGTATTTCTCCAAACTTCTTGAAAACTTTTATAAGGACTTCTTCGCTTGGCTTTTCTGAGCCAGAGTCCTTAGCTGCAAACCACTTACAAGGTAAGCCCTCCAAGTGAATAGTATCTGGCCTTTCCCCTGGCAAAGTTTCATTCATATCTTTCGCATCACGGAAAAACGAGTCCCAGTCATGTCTGGTAGGAAAGTCAATCTTATATTCTGCAGCACGGACTTTCAAAATGTCAGAGAAGCCACTCAGCTTTATGGTTTTGCCATCAAGGCATGCCAGAAAAGACTTAACCAAACTTTTGTTTTCGACCTCTCCTTCAAACCGGATGAAATCCATTGTGCTTTTAGAAATCCGCAGAGTGGAAAACTGATGAGTTTGCACCATCCCTTTCAATCTTTCCATCACCTCCCAGTTTGAAATGGATTTTCCCGGCTGTTTCAGCTGAGGAAGTGCCACACTGATGGTCATTTTTGTAATGGGTTTAAGGTATAACCCACAGGGAGCACAGAGCTCTACAGCTTCTGATGTATCATGAACTATTGTTGCAGCAGCCATAACACAGAAAAAGCATAGGATAAAAAAAGAATAAAAGATGCAAGTTTAAGTTGCAGGCCAACAGCAGTTAAATACAATAGCCCTTATCCGTAAATAATTTAATTTTTTTGCCATTTAACCATTACCAAGTTAAAACAATGCCTCTTAATGCAAGAGTCAATTAGAGAGTTAAAACTGAGCAGTACAAACATCTTAAATTACTTTATAACCACTAGAGCCTACAAGTAATTAAACCTCAGTAGGGCCTCAGGAAAAAAACCCAAGAAGCTTGATGGCAATCTTAGGAATACATGAGGCTGGTATGTGATGGCTCAGAAAGCAGCTACCCTTGTTTACGGAAGGAAGGGACAGGCGGAGCGATGTCACGCCGCTCTGAAGTCTACTTAACAACCAGTAAACCTCAGCAGGCTAGCGCCGAGGCGGATCCCGCGTTCTCCAGCAGAAAGGCTCGGAAGGCGTCTGCAACGAGAGAAAAACGACCCTTTGATTTAACACCCAGAAGCCCCACCGCCCTCCGAGCAGCGCCGACGGCCTCCGCACTACCAGGCCGAGGAG